ATATGACTTTTAAGCCCATGGAAAAAATAACATCAAAGCTTTCTGTCTTGCATGTAAATTTGTTAAAAATAGCTGCAGATACAAATCGATTGAAAAAAGTAGAAAACGTAAAAAAAAAATAGAAAAAAATAGAAAGCATAAGCCATAAACCCATGTTGTTTGCCAATTCTGAATGCTGAAAGTGCGAAAGCAAGAGAAGCGAATATCAAAGCAGTTTTATTTCCTCCCACGCTTTTTTTTTGTTGAATGCCCCGGGGATTTGGCGTTTGTTGAATGGGTTTTTCTTTACATGAAAATGCTTTAAAAATCGGCCTGAAGGGATCGAACTTTGCCACCGGCGCTGTGACATGAAATGCTTTTCATCTATAATTAGATATAATTCCAGGCAAACCTATTGCAATTTAAAAAATATTTTTTTAAGAATTAAACTTTACGTAAATTATATTAAAATCAATCAAACTAATACATTTATGAAATAAATTGTAGAAAATATAAAATTTAAATATACAGTATATAAATAATTGTAATAAAATAATACTAAACTTGACATTACAAAAATAATAAGACTATAATTAATTACAATTTTAAAAGTTATTTATAAAATTTACGACAAAATTTTTTTTAAACTAAATATATAAAAAATACTTGTGAATTAAATTTATAGATTTTATAAATTTTAAATATAATAAGATTTATTAAAATATCTTAAAAAAAAAAAAAACAATTATTAAACTCTCTAGATAAATATATTGAAAATTCAGTATCTATAATTAAATATATTATGCGATGAATATTGGATACACAACTACCGTAATCGTCTCCTACCCAACTACCCTAATCAAATTTTAGCCCCATGCTCTTACTTGATTTTTGATTTTATACCCTGAACCCATCGAAAATGAAAATACGGGGCATATTGGTTATGTGAAAATGTATGTAACAGGTAGAGGGGCAGAAATGACAACGAGATAAGTTTTCATTCCTAAATTCGGATGCCTTCTCGCCTATCCCTTAATCAATTGACAGAGAATAATAACTTGTATTCTATAAATTTTGGAGTAAACGCTTTGCGCAAGGTTCAGAGCATCTGCTAGTCGTTTACAAGCCAAAATATCACTCTTTCTGCTTTTTTATTTACTGGCAAAATATTTACATATGAATGAACTTTGACTAAAAAATACATCAATAACATTATTTAATATTAATATGAAAAGAGCTTTGCGGCATGTTTACTGTATGTGTGTGTGCGTGTGTGAGAGAGGTGCGTACGTGAATTTGTGTTTATGTGTGTGTATGTGCAAGGGAGTTGAAGAAAAGTTCAAGCTGGGAAACTTGACAAATATTTATGAATCTTGTTTAAGGTCTTAAGGGAATAAATATGAAATGAGAAAGCAAGAATCAAATAAAAATTAAAATATAATCAATATTTGCAAAGGTTTAAATCAACATAAAAACGTAAACCCTTATGTTTAGAACTAAAGATTCAAAATATGAGTGCAAAAAATAAGTAAATACATAATAATTATATTTTATTTAATATATAAAATGTATGTTATAAAAAAATTATAAAAAAAAAAATTAGTACGTATTATATTTTATTTTTTATTTTATATGAACTAATTT